CCTTTACATAGCATTTTATTATCGTCGTGGTTTTAGTATTTATAGCATTTTTTTCATGCAATCTTTTTTAATTTGATAGCATTTTATGTTATAATTTTGACTTTAATAACATTCTTTGTTCGTCATGGTTACATTTTCAATAGCATTCTTTTTCCATCATAATTTTTTAATAGCATTTATTGAATATAATGTATTATTTTAAATAGCATTTTTATTATAATATATACAGATTACATAGCATTCTTTAATTATTGGACTAAAAATATGAGCAACAATAACCAAGCCAATAATAAATTCCAAACAACCATCAATATTGTCTTGTAAAAACACACAAGTGTGGTTGTTCAATAGAGAAATCTAATTATGTCATATTTCAAATCAAATACAAATCGCAATATATGCTCGAAAATGCAATAAACATAATTAAATTAGAATCATCTAATTCTAATTCTTCAAAAGAAAATTTCTTGAACCCTTGCAGCTTGTTTGGAAAACACATCCACCAAATCGATGATGCCTTTAAATCTGAAAATTAACAAAGTGATATAATTTATTAGATAGCTGCAAACAGTAAAGCCATGTAAAATATGTTAACAATATGTAACTTTCTGCAATGTTAAAGAGATGAAGACTACAGCTACACGCAAAAACTAAAATATAAAACAGAGTAAATGGGTGATAAAACAGTTGTACCCTCTCTCTTTCAAATTAAAAAAAGTGGGGGAAAAATATTTCCACAAGAGACTTGTGTCTGCAGTCATAATTACATGAAATTGCAAAATAAAATTCTCTTTCTTAATAGTGTTGTCTCATGTTTTACCTGGGCCAATATCAAGATTTTACCTCAATAAGGCCAGAGCTTCACTACCTCCCACAACCAACAAAGCCACATAAGACACACATCCATAGGTTCTCAGAAGTCTGACAGAAAGCATATTGACTTCTCAGGCTGCTCTTAGCAATAGCGGCATACCTATGTAAAAAGTTGCAATCAAACCAAATATGAACTATTTTTTTCTGTAATTATAGAGCAAAAGATGATACATCCACATAGAGTTAAGAAACTGAGGAACATCTATCGTGGTTGACTAGTCTTATGTGCACCCATTTGATTTGGATGTCACCTACTTTCTCAGTCATAACATATCATAAGAGTACAAGAAATAAACTTTGGAGAGAAGAAAAATATTATATACATATAAACTGTTATATAAGTAGCAAAGTTACAAGCTAACACGGATGCCTCCACTTCTGGGATTGAACTCTTAAGTCTTAACAGCCAGTGGATGTGGAAATCATGTCTATTGTTCAATTGGAAATGGAAAGCACGTCCATTGTACAATTTTGGATATATAAATAGAACTAATTCTGACTTGTTTATACATGAGCAAGATTAGACATCTATGTGTCATGCATAACAGAAGAAAAGTAAATGAAACTGTATGACCAGCCATGAAAAAGAAGTACTAGATTTTCAAATGAAAGAGCAATACCTTGTTCTCTAGCTTTACTTAACCACTTAAGTGCTCTCTAATAACATCAGTCAAGCTCTTGCTCTCAACTGCATAATCAAACACTTCATAAGCATAAGCCAATGAATTTTGTTTAAGTTCAATATCATACTCTGGTTCTTATTAACAGTTTTTCATTCAGTTTATAACTTGTGCAACTGAAAAAGAGAAGCAGCCAAAGTACCTATGAACCTTGTCTTGAACTCGAAGTTACTATTTTTCTCTCATCAAGGAACCTTAAAGAAATTCCTGAAGAT